TGGTGTGGGTCTTTTGGGGTTCATCTTGCTTAGACTCTCTGTACTTGTGTAACTTTTTTCCCATATCTGGGACGTTTTCTGTCATTATTTCTTCAAATAGATTTTCTAATCCTTGCTGCTCTTCTTTTCCTTCTTGCAGCCCTATTATGCGTATGTTACTTCGTTTCATGTTGTCCCAAAGCTCCCTTAGGCTCTCCTCCTGCTTTTTAATTTTTTTTCTCCAGTTGCTGTTCAGATTGAGCCTGTTTCTCTGCCTTATCTTCTAATTCACTAATTCGGTTTTCTGCTTCTTCTAGTCTGCAGTTGAAACTTTCCATGGTGTTTTTGATTGTAGCTATATCAGTTTTCATTTCTTCCTGATTCGGGAGCCTCACACCACCCTAGTGTCACTAAAGAGCTCTGACACTAAGATGTGTTGTTGTTGTGGGTTGGTGGGAACCAGGCTCGCTCAGAGTCAGTGTTGCCAGCGCTCATTGTGGCCTCGTGTGCGCCCTTAGAATCAGGGACCCTGCCTGCACCATGCTGAAACAGAGACCCCCCTGGAGCATGTTGAAAATCAGCGCCCCCTAGCGTGTGCCAGGAGTTAGAATTCCCCAAGAATCCAGTATCAGAGTCTCTGTTGCTTCACGTGACCTCGCATTGAGAATCAGGGTCCCTGTGTGCCCTTGCACCAAGAATTGGAGTCACTGGCTCTTAGTCTGAATGCACAAGGAGTCAGGGATCTCAGGCGCAGGTGATAAGAAACACAGTCAAGTCACTGGTGCTATGTGCTGCCTCCTTCCCAGAGAATCGGGGTCCCTGGGTCCTTCCTGGTGTTCCCGGGATTGCTCCCAGCCCAGGACTCCTGAAGTGGGCACTACACGGGACCAGTTCCAAGGTGCTCGCGCACTTCCAGGCTAAAGTTCCTGTGGCAGCACTGAGGCCCAGGCAAGGGGTGGGTCTATCAGTTACTATGGAGCTGCCCGCGCACCTGCAGGGAGGGCGATGGGCTCTGTTACTCACAGATCTGCGCGGGGATTTCTGAACTTTTGGTGTCTGTAGGTCTGTAGCTGTGGTCACAGGTCTCTGTCCCCAGTGTCTGCAGGGTCCTGGTATGCGTCTGAGATCAGACTGGGTGGTGCTGAGGTCAGGATCCTAGTCTCAAGCAGCTCTGTTTCCCAAGATGGCGTAGTCGTTGTGCCCGTGCTGGCCGCCCAGGAGTGTCCACGCTGGGAGTGGGGCTCCGCCGCCTAAGACTGCCCGGTTTAGCAGCCCCTTAGAAGACCTGCAGAATCTAACTGTCCCTAGCTCATATGCACACACACCACACACTCCTCTATCACTTCCTTGCGCTCTCACACTCCCTCCCTACCTTTCTGCCAGTCGCCATTTTTTTCTCCCCAATTTATTTCTTGTTGTTGACCTATAATTTTTTCTTTTTGTTGACTTTTATTTTAATTCCATTATGGTTGGGGAACATACTTTGATGATTTCTGTCCTTCTGAATGTATTGAAATGTGTTTTATGGTTGGCATGTGATCTATCCTTGAGAACTGTCCATATGCACTTGAAAATTGTATATTTATGGTACAGTCATTGGGTTGAATGTTCTAGATTGAGTTGGCCGATTATGTTTTTCAAATCTTCTATATCCTTGATGATTTTCTGTCCAGTTGTTCTATATGTATAGATATCTCCAACTGTTATTGTTAAATGATCTATAATCTACTTTCATTTTGTCAAGTTTTGATTCATGTATTTTGATGCTCTGATGTTAAATGTGTGTATATATTTATCATTGTTATATCATACTGATACATTGACATCTTTCTCATTATGAAATGTCTTTTTATCTCTTGTAATATTTTTGTCTTAAATTCTATTTTGTCTGATGTTAATATAGCCACTCCTGATCTCTTATGGTTACTGTTTGCATGATATCTTTTCCTTTCACCCTATTTGTATCTTTGAATCTAATGTGAGTTACTTCTAGATAGTATGTAATTGGATTTTACTTTGATTGGGATGTTTAGTTGTATTTATCTTTGCCATTTTTTGTTTGTTCTATGTAAGTCTCCTGTCTTTTTTGTTTCTCTCTTCCTCTTTGCCTACTTTCTTTTGTGTTAAGTAAACATTTTCAGCATATCATTTTAATTTCTCTGTGAATATTTTTACTTTTTCACCATTTTTTCTTAGTCATTACTCTAGGGATTAGAATATACATTTTAATTGGCTACTTCAGATTAATACTAACTTAATTCTAGTAAAATAGAATCTTTGCTTTAATATAGTTGAATTTTCTCCCTCCTCTTGTTCGCTATTATTGTTATCTATATTACATGTGTATGTGTAATAAATCCAACAATGTAGTATTATAATTATTGCTTCATACAATTTTATGTCTTTTTAAAACAGTTAAGAGAAATGAAAATAATGTATCTATATTATCTTTTATAACACTTTATGTATTTACCATTTCTAGTCTCTTTATTTCTTCTTGATCATTCATATCATTGCTTAGAGTCAATAGTTCAGTGGTTTAGCAGTGCATTCTCATTCATTGCTTATTCGCGGATGTCCTTTTTCAGCCTTCATTTTTGCAGGATAGTTTTGCTGGATATAGAATTCTTGTATTTTTATTTTAGCACTTTGAATTTGACATTCTACCACCCTCTCGTCCATCGTTTTAGGTGAAATGTCAGCCATTAATTGTATTGATGCTCTTCTATTCAAGGTGATCAGTAGCTTTTATCTTGCTGCTGTCAAAATTTTCTTTGTTGTATGTTTTTACCAGTTTGTGTCTATCTGTGTGGGATCCTTTTGTATTTATGCTGCTTGGGATTTGTTGAGCTTCTTAAGTTCATAGATTAATGGTTTTCATCAAGTTTAGGAAGTTTTTAGCCACTATATCTTCAGATATTCCTTTTGCCCCTTTGTCTCTCTCCTTTCCTTCTGAGATTCCTATTGTGCAAATGTTGCTGCACATGGTCATATTCCACAGGTCTCTAAACCATTGTTCTTTTTCTTCATTCTTTTAAAAAAAATTTCCTCAGCTGGGTTATCTCAGGTTACCCATCTTCAAGTTTATGGTTCTTTCTACTGCCAGTGCAAATCAACCATTAAACTGCAGATTTGAATTTCTGACTTCAGTTATTATACTTTCCAAATCCAGAATTTCTATTTGGGTCCTTTTAAGAACTCATTTCTATCTCTATATTAATATTCTCTTTGGTGAGGCATGATTGTCATGCCTTTAATTCCCTTTTATTCTGTAGACATGGTTTCCTTTACTTCTTTCAACATATTTATATTAGTTGACCTGAAATCTTTGCATAGTTACTCCAGCATATAGGCTTCCTCAGGAATAATGTT